AAGCACTATTCACAGAAAGCTTAACAAACCTCTATTGGTGAATAAATGTTCCCATTTAAAAACAGGTCCAAGCCCTATTCATGCAGACCAAATAGAATACTGGAGACAAGATCTCACATGGTTTTGTTTGTTTCTAACAAGGAGAAGTCTTTTTGGTTTTCCTAAGCCCTCTATGGAACGCTCCGCTCCCTTCTGGCTCCCACCCTCTGGCCAATAGCACCCCGGACCACATGTCCACCCCGGCCTGCTCTGGGCTCGGGAGCCCTGCCCCTGTCACAGGCTGACAAGGAGGAGGTGAGAGCTGCCTTCAACTTAAGAGTCTTATCTGGACAGGTTCACCCCAACTGCTTACTTGAAGAGCAAACCAAGGCTCAGATCTGAAGTGCCCAGTGTATGGATATAGCCAAGTGGCTTCATCACCACTGTGAGGACCCCTCAGAGAGGGAAGGTGTGAGGTGAGCTGAGCCCGAGGTCTGGAAGTCGGGGGATGAGGCCCCCATGATCTCCCAGCACCCACGGTGGGACATTGACAGGTTCAGACAACAGGGTGTAAGGACCCCTTTAAGGGGCCCTGGACTGGAGGACCAGCGGCATCTGAGCATGAGCCCAGGGTCTTGGTGGGGTGTGGGTGGTCCAGGACACCTCACGGGAGCCTTGGCTGCTGGACCAGGGGGAGAGCAGTGTGAGGAACAGAACACCATCTATCAGCCTTTGTTTGGTGCTGAAGCTGCTGCTGTGGGGCTCCATTGCCCGAGACCAGTACCAGACTTTGGGTTTTAATAAGCACATGTCTGGTTTGATAGAAAAGCTAGACTTTCACATATACTCGTTCAGAAGCAGGTGACCCTCTGGCCCACGTGGACGCACGCTGCCACCTCCACGGCCCACGGGAGGGAACATCCTGGCGTTCCTGCTACTCCTTGCCACCTGGGATGCCTCCCCATGGGACGGTGGGAGAGCTCTGTGCAGGGGTCCACCCTCCACAGGTACCCTGCAGTGTCAACCTTCCAAACCAAGAGGATCCGAGAGGGCCAGCATCTTCCCACAGACGGTGGTCACCAGGGGGGCCTCTTCCCTCAATGACTTGGTGACTCTGAGCCTGAGTGGGGCCAGCAGCTCTGATATCCAGAAGGTTATCCTCAGTGGACTCCCCAGAACTGGAGCTGTGCATCTTCACCAGGTGAAGGCGCCCCCACTCCTGCTGCACCCGGCGGGCTGCTCGGACAGTACAACAGGGCGCGGCGAGCTCAGACCCCAGCCCGGTTCCCAGCCCAGGTTCCCATCCCGGCTGTGTAGGGGTCACCTGGCCATGCGCCCTCTCTGAGCCTCGGTTTACTCATCTGTGGCAGCACCGTCCCTGCGGGTTGTTAGGAGGTCACCGAGTCAGCATGGTTAAGGCGTCAGCGCCGTGCCGGGCCTGCGTAGCACTGACAAGGACTATCTGGCCCGTTACTGATGGTGTTGAATGAAGAGGTATTAGGGAGTCAGGAAACCAGCTCAGCGAGCTGCTTTCAAGTACCCAGCGGGCTGTCAAGTACCCAGACATGCGTCCAAGGCCCGGCTCCACCCTTTGGAAGCCATGGGGCCTCGGAGGAGCCTCACTGCTTCCTAACCTGTGAGTTAGGCTGATGTGAAGGAGATGCACAGGGCCCAGCACAGGGACTGGCACACACCCAGCGCCTGAGACATGTGAAGACGGCATCACTGTAACTGTTAACTATCATCTTTCATTATTATTAACAACACAGGATGTGAAGTAAGGCATGAGTTGGGACTGAAGGCTCTCCCTCATCAAGGTTCCAGGAAGGTTTCCCACAGCGCAGAGCCGGCAGAAGGCCCACTCCTCCTCAAGGTCACAGCGGGTCTTCTCAGCCCTTGAGACCTTGGGCTGCAGGACTGAACGTGCCCGAAGACTCCCCTGCACTTGGAATGCTCGCCTGCCAGACGGGGTGTGGCCGACACCGAGGGCATGTCCCCTCCAGCCCCCTCTCCAGACCTGCTCCCCTCCTTCCTGGAAGCCCAGTGGTCCAGGCAAGCCTGAGGTTCAGGGTGCAGTCACTGGCACATCCCTGGCCGATGGGAGACAAAGAGGTCATCAGGGACTTTAAGGTTCAACTAAACACTCAGAGTCATGAGGGCTCCTAAGTTCAACCAGACGTGGGGCTGCTTCCTCAGAGGGAATAAGGCAGGAAGCACAGTCTGCCGGCTGGATTCTTCCGAGAGTCCACGCAGTGTCCACACAGCCGCCCAGGGGCTCGACTCGAGCACGAGGGTAAGAAACGCCCATCAGGGAGGGTGTGTGGAGCCGTCCCAGTGTCCCAGGAGACACCTCTTACACTCACTCCATGGGTACGGCTTCCAGGGGCCCCTCGAGGGACACATGCGGTTACAAGGCACCCTCCATGGGAAGTCCAAAGCTTTGTACCCCCCAAAGATGCATCTTCCATCGAGACGCAGTCACCATCTTTCCCATCTCTACATGGCTGGTGTGGACTTTTGCCCTTTTCTCTCTGCTTCCTGCCCGGAACAGGAAGTGGTGTCCGGAAGGATATGGACACTGGCTGGGGCTGAGGTGACCCGCCCGAGGAGAAGGTCGATCCCCGTGTCACAAACCCATGGAGCCAGGAGCCACTCGCCTCTGGACCTCTGTACACAACAAGCTTCCCTGTTTGGACAAGCTCCCAGTAGGTGCATGGAAATACATTCCTAACTGATCAACGTGTCTAATTTGGGGGTGGTTTCCCCACATTCATTCCATCCTAGGGTGTTTCATCATTATCTCTTCCTGTTCCTGAGTCAGACTTTTGGTCCTTCAAGTCTTTGTCGAGTATGAATCCTCTGCTACGAAGGGGTGTGTGTTTGCTTTAAGATCGCTACGTTTTCGTAACAGTCGAAGGGTTTCTCTTCTATAGGACACTCTAAAGTAAGGCGGTCCACACTGGTTTGAGCTGGTCACAGGCAGCCTTAGCCAGTCTGGGTTGGTTGGAGGCAGCTGTTTTGATTTGGTCTAGAACAGTCAGCTGGTACAGAGCCGGGAGTCTTCTGGAAGTCTGACTGCTAGAGGTATGACTCAGGGCACCCAGGCACAAACTCTGCTTCCCGGTCCCTCCCCCTCCCCTCCCTGCAGGTATGAGGCTGATTCAAGCCAGGGGAGCTTCATGTGCAAATCATCCTCCCAGACAGTTTGAGGGAGTCCTGCCCAAATGGCGCCATGAAATATGTTGAAAAGTGAGCTTTGGGACTTCCCTAGAGGTGGTTAGGGCTCGGCACTTTCACTGTGGGGGGCCCGGGTTCAATCCCTGGTCGGGGAACTAAGATCCCACAAGCCGCGCGGAGTAGGCAAACAAAAAAGAAGAAAAGTGAGCTTCTTGGATCCACAAGAGCCTCCATCACCAGACCAGTGAACTGGCACAGCCCCATCCTGGCATCCTGATCACCAAGGAGACTGGAGCTGGGATGTACCACATCCTCCCCTATGAAGGAGATGCTGGGTCCTGCCAGTCACTGGGTCCTGGAACAACCACACTAGCAGGCTGGATTGGGATCATCATAATCTACTGGGACCTGATGAAAACCAGTGTGATCCAGTCTGAACCAGCTAAAATGTACCCCAAACCACATGTAAACTGCTGAGCGAAATCCATCTGAGCCTACTGGAATTGGTCAAAATGGGGTCAAGGCTATTTGAATTGTGTAATATTGGTTCCGACAGTTCAAAACTGGTTTTTATCCAGCTGGAACAACACCGATCCAGTATAACGTGGAACCAGTTGCAACTGGGTTGAGCCAGTAAATTCACTTTTAACCAGTTTGAGTTGGGCTAGCCTGATTTAAACCAGTCAGTCCCTTGAAAGGGAATTTGAGGGCTTCAGTTTCCCAGGTTTTTTTAGTTCTATACTAAAAAAGAAAACCAGGGTAGCGAAAGTCTAAAGTCACTTATTTCTGAAGATTAATTTACCTTGCTCGCATAAATATTCATAAAAATCAATCACCAGCTTATTGAAAGAATTAATAAACTTCACATTGTTTATTGTGACCCACTAGCAAGGGCAGGGATCAGCCTCCTAGCAAAGCAAAGATTCTGCTTTTAAGAGGCTCTTTACCGTGTGGTTGGAGGGCATCCTAAAGGAGGTGCCGGGGGTTCCCTGATGCCCTTCAGACAATAGCCAAGCAGGAGTGCTCCCCACACCAAAAGTGACACAGAACAGATCAGCTGGTTTGTTTTTTTTTTTTTTTTTTTTTTTTTTAAATGATACTATTCCCCGATTTAACTGATCTGGAGGTAAGTCCCAGTCATCGGCATATATGTCTAAAATTCTACTGTTACTCAGGGCTAAGAAACACTGCTTTGCATCCATAGGCGGGCCTCTCACTGTTGTGGCCTCTCCCGTTGCGGAGCACAGGCTCCGGACGCGCAGGCTCAGCGGCCATGGCTCACGGGCCCAGCCGCTCCGCGGCATGTGGGATCTTCCCGGACCGGGGCACGAACCCGTGTCCCCTGCATCAGCAGGCGGACTCTCAACCACTGCACCGCCAGGGAAGCCCTGGGTTGTTGTTTTTTTTAATTGAATGTTAAAATGCAATATTAACCTCCTCAAAAGAGACAGGAGAGTGGAAGGAAATGAGTCTTTAAAAAAAAAAAAAACTAGCGGTCTAAATTTGGATGCAATTATATCCACCCTAATCAAAAGTGTTAGATCATAATTAGCAGCTTATACAGAGACATTTCAATCTGTTAATTCAATCATCGTGTCATGTGTGAGGCCATTACTGAAAGTATAATTAAATGGGATGGTCTCCTGTTCCCTAATCAATTGGACCTTCTCCTCTCCCATTGAAGACGTGGGGCCGAGCACCTTGCCTTATTGTAGAACTGCCTTCCCCTTGAAGGTGTGTTTTCTACACAAGCTTTGTGGGAGAAAACCAAAAGTCAAAGTCCTATTTGCTTTGACATAAAAATATGTCAGCTGCCCCCTAAGAGAGAAAATTCAGTCACTTACCAGCCACAAAACTTGGAAATGATGCCACCTTCTTCGTCTGTTAGGAAATATGAAAACACACACAATAGGTTTAAGTAGTTGGCCCATAAGATCTAGGTTAAGATGATTAATTACCATAATTAACGGTGGTAATTAATTATGGTAATTAATTAATTACCATATATAATTAATCATGACTGGTCTTCCCAAGAAGTCGGCTCCTTACAGCAAACCAGTGTCCTTCCGGCGCCATGATGTTTGGGTGGGGTACATGTAACCAATTCTCATGGAAAACATGGGGTACAAAAGGCCATCAGCTAAAACCAGATTAGCATGTCACTGCTAGAAGGAATATACCCAGCGGTTCCCTAACTGGTGGGCATGAGAATTTCCAGGCACATCTTTAAAAGCAAGGAAGGAGATCAGGCGCCACTGCATGGGTGGCCACAGTTATTTCATCCAAGTTAGAAAATCCCATCCAAACCATGTTATCCAGAAAAGGGAAATAACTTGCTTAAAGCCTCATTCTAATAACCTCCCCATCATGGCAGTGAAAGTTTACATGGGATTGTTTTTTAAAACCACATTGTTGGTTTAGAACTGCGGTTCTCAACCCAAGTGATTTTTGTCCCCAAGGGGACATACGGCAATTTCTGTAGACATTTTTGGTTGTCACAACTGGGGGAGGAGGGCTGCTACTAGCATCTAGTGGGTAGAGGCCAGGGATGTGTCTAAACACCCTGCAGTGCAAAGAACGGCCCTTCACAACAAAGAAGGATCTGGCCCCAAATGTCAATGGTGCCACCCTTGAGTAATCCTGTTTTAGAACATGACTGTCAGATAATGGGATAGAATGAGTTTCTGTCAAATCGGGGAGCACCAATGACCCCCACGCACCAAATGCAACACATGGGCACACCGTGGTGTGGGTCTGAGTCAACAGGAAAGGGCCTTCCCTTCCTCGTCCTGCAGGGCCACCGGGCTTTGCTTGATGGGACACCCCCCCACCAGGCACTGGGTGGGACAAGAACCTGGTGAAGAGGGCGAGCCCATGAAGACAGGGTGGGCAGCTCCCACATCAGGGCCCTGGGCCAGAACTCTCTTCCTTGGAAAAATTACCTCTAGAATGTTGTTATTGTCAACAGGGCCATTGAGATCAGAGCGCTGCTGCTTCCTCGGCTGCTCCAAACCATTGCAAACCTGGAAACCGGGAAGTTAAAGACAAAGATGGTGTTTTCACACGTGAGAAAAAATAAAAATACAATAAAAAATAAATAAAAATTTAAATTAAAAAAAAGAAAAAGAAACCAAGACACAAAACTGGAGATACAATATGATATAATTTTGTAAAATGCATGTGTATATAGGTATGTGTGTGTGCATACAGATATAATTTAACTTTTCTGCCAATAATATGTATACTTTTATACTTCTAAAAAGTTATTTGAATCATATTTTCTAATTTCTAATTTCTTGTTTATTATTTTTAATTTTCTAATTTATTGTTTATTATTATTTTTAATTGTGGTAAAAAACATGTAACAGAAAGTCTGCCATCTTAACCATTCATAAGTGTACAGTTCAGTGGCATTAAGTACTCTCACATTATTATGCAATGATCACCATCCATCTCCAGAGCTCTTTTCATCTTACAAAACTGAAACTCTGTCCACTGACTCCCTATTCCCACCCCACCGCCAGCCCCCAGCAACCACCAGTTCCCGCTATCAATTCACTCTAAGGAGTGCATACAAGTGGGGTCATATAAGATTTGTCTTTTTGTGACTGGCTTACTTCACTGAGCATAATGTCCTCAAGGTTCATCCCTGTTTTAGCAGGTGTCAGAATGTCCTTCCATTTTAAGTCTGAATAATATTCCACCATTTATATAGACCACTCTTTGTTTATCCATTCATCAGTCCACGCACACCTGGGTTGCGTCCACCTTTTGGCTGTTGTGAATAATGCTGCTACAAACACCGGTGTACAAGTACCTCTCAGAGTTCCTGCTTTCAATTCTTGGGGTATATATATATATATATATATATAGCCAGAAGTAGGACTGCAGGATCATATGGTAATTTTATTTTTTATCTTTTGAGGAACCACCATACTGTTTTCCACAGCAGCTAAGCCATTTTACATTCCCAACAACAGTGTCCAAGGGTTAAAATTATATTTCTAACAAACTTAAATTCTTAGTTCAATGCAAATTCAAAAATCTAAATTCCTTAGTTAATGCAAATTAGTCAATCTACTACTAGAAAAATGCCCCAAGGACATAAGTCTTCTCTTAAGGAAGACATCAACCCAAAATTCCTCTTACTTCGATGAACAAAATTTAAAGTTTAGGTATATTTTCTCTACTTAAGTGCCCTGTACTATCCAGAAGATCTCTCCAGATCCAAGCACTGAAATCACTGTCCAAACCCCAAAGGAGGCTCTGGTGAGCCAGTATCTTAAGTCAAGTTCCAGAACTTTCTGGAAATAAATTATCAAGCAGTAACAATATGATGATGCCAATAACATTAATAAGTTTTATTTACAAATAAATAAATTTATATTATGAGCATATGCATACATTACACTTATATTTACATTATGTTTATTTATAAATAAGTAACATTATTGATCGCATCCTTTCCCATATGAGATGGATGTGCCCATTCCT